AGAAAAAGAGGAAATTTCTACTACTACGGGTTTTGCACACATAGTTAACGTTTACGTAGTTTGATGGGTAAATTTTTTTTTTTTATTTTCCAGCCACAAAATTTCTGGGTCAAAGTTTTGTTTTGTTTTGTTTTGTTTCTCTATTGAATTTGGGTTGAACTCGGGTCAAAATCCCGATTAATAAAAATGTTTGAATGAAAGTGCAGATGATGATGATGATGATGAAAAAATTTCCGCTATTTTCGCACGTTCTATAGACATTTTTACAACTAAAATTGTTTTGAAGTTCGGTAAAATAGCACCCGTCATTGATGATCGGGGGGAGGGAATTTCGGTGCAAAAAATTCCCGAACGAGCAAAACATGTCATTTTGAGCTGAATTTTTGATTTGATTTCCGCTTTTTTCACCATACACTGAGAGAAAAGTGTGGTTTGCACACGCCAATTTTTTTGAGGTTTGCACGCCAATCGCTAACACATTTACATGCTTTTTTTGAAGGCGTGCATACATCAATGTTGGCGTTATTACGGCATCCAAATTGGACTTTTTTCTCAGTGTAGTTTCTCTCTCTCTCTCTCTCTCCCCCAAAAAAAAAAAAAATTCCTAAAATTTTTTCACCAAGCTGGTTCGGTTGAACGAAAATCCTAAAAATGCCATATCATTCCCTCCCCCCCCCGAAACAAAAAAATGTAAATCCAATGTTTCCTATGTGGATAATGATGATGATTTTGATTTTTTGTTTCCATTTTTCGAAATGCTAAATGTTAATTACAACAACAACAACAAAAAACTTGGAAATTAAATTCAAAAAAGGTCAAGGGTTAAAATAATATTATGGTTTATGGCTGTTGTTGCTATTGGTATTTTGAAATGGAATTTTTTTTTGTTAACCCTTTTTTGTTCTGCTAATGTTTTCCATGCTAAAAGCGTACCTAAGGTTTGTTTACCCAAAACATTGATGATGATAACAGGTTGTTGCTTTCTTGCTGGTTATTATACCTGGTATTCTCTGGAGAGAGGTCAGGTAAACTTTTCCTCTAATTTTTTTTATTGCCTGGTCTCTAATGGATAAAATTTTCATTTTTTTTATGGTTTGAAAAAAAGGAAAAAAAATTAAGCCAAAACAATTATGATCGTCATTTGATATTCACGAATCTCTCTCTCTCTTGTCCATATGGATTTAAAAGGGTTAAATCAATTTAACCATCATCAACCATCGCCAAGTTTTTAGTTTCAGTTTTGGCCTTGGATCTCACTAACTCACTAACTTTACTTGCGTAATGCAATGCGACAAAACATCCTTTTTTCCAACAACAACACCAACAAAAAACGAAGGTTATCATCATCAATGTAGACACAACATATTTTTGTCCATAAACAACAATTTCCTTTCCCCATGATAATCATGATCATGGTCGGTTGTAATGATGGGTTAAAAACGCAGCACACTATTGCCATCATTATTTTGACCATCATCTCTCACCCAGAGAGAGAGAGAACGGAGAGAGGAAAAGCGCGCGAAAAATTTTTCTCATTGCACCACTGCACTGATGATATTTTGGCTGCTTGCACATTGCATTCACAGAGAGAGAGATATTGAGGGGGGAATTTTTGTTTGGCTGGCTGCAGGGTTGTTTGCAAAGTCCGTTGTTTGAAAAAATACAATCTGCAATCTCTGGTGATAATGGTGGTGGTACACAACAACAAGCAAACTTGTTGTCGTCGCCAATGGCGAAGAAACAAAAAAAAGCGCGCCAAAATTTTTTTTTACAGAAATTCTTTTCGGCTTTTATTAACACACTTGTACCATCCACCACTTGCAACAACACCACCAACATTATCATTATCATCAACAAACAGCAACTATTTTAACGTTGTAAAAACGTTTTTTGTTTGTTTGTTTGTTTGAGAAAATATTTCTCTCTCTTTCTCGATCAATTTTCACTTATATTTACGAGATGGAAACAAACAAAACATAGTTTATTTTGGCGGGAAAATTTTTTATTATTTCGCGCCAAAATAAAAAGAATGTTTTCGAATGGGGGGAAGATAATGGAAGAGATTTTCTCGGCCACTTGAATTTTTTGGATGATGTCTTCTGATCAAAAAAAAATTCATCTTTTAACCTTGGAATTTTTGCTATAATTTTATTTTTTTTTTCTGCTTGGAACATTAAATTCGTCTCAAGGTTTTTCTTTTCGTTCTTTTGGATTTAATCAACAGGGAAAAAATATCAATTTAGCAAGCAAGCAAAAAAAAGGTTTTTCGATCTGCGCACATTTTACATAATGATGTTTAACGAATAAAAATTTCATTTTTGAAATGGATACAGTTTTCACGAAAAAAAAATGGATTCTGGATTCGTCTCAATTCGTCTTGACCTTGCCAGAATTTTTTTTTAAATCCAAAAGAATTTCACCAACCAGCAAAAAACCCAGACATATTTTTTTTTTATTCAAGGTCAAAATAAAAACGCCTATTTTTATCCAATTCTACCCCCTATACTACTATTATCCGCATTTAGAATTTAGGTTCAATGGGCTTTTACGCCATCACTACTATACTATCAACTATTTCTACCCACCATTGCAATTCTTTTTCAAAACAGAAGAATATTCTTTGTTATGGGTTTTTTTCCCCTATCCAGACAATTTTAATGATTCAAATAACGAAAAAAACAACAAAAAAAACCAAACAAACGTGCGTTCTTCTGTGTCCTTTTAAATGCTACATTTTTTTGAAGAACAAGTTGGGTTCAAGATCAAATCGTTGTGCGATCCAAAACAACAAAAAAAAATTGTAGCATTTAAATGGCTTGATCCTTTTAAATTTCACTTCATTTCACTTAACTTTTAAAGAAAATTACCCACCAAATTAGGTCGTGACCTATTGAATGAGAGAATGACTTCTACACTTACTTGTTTGGTTTTGGGTTTTGTTATCATTTGAAGAAAAAAACGATCATTATCATCATCATCATCATTATTATTCAGTGTCAAAATGTCTTTATCTATAGAGCGGTGACCACCATATCCAAAATCGATAAAAAAAAATCGCTGGTAGCTAATCAATTTAAAAAAAAAAATAATTAAAATTCACGAAGATTTTCTTGAAATTTTTTTTCGAATTCGAATGTTATCAAAGATTCGAATGTTTATAAAAAAAAAATATTACGCGTGCGCGGAGGGAGTAAGAACACAAACACTTGCTTCTTTTACCACTTCTCTTATATACCACCGTGTGTTGTTCAACATTCGATTCGATTTGTCTGCTTGTTTGTATGCGTGGAAGTTTGAAGTGAACAACAAAAAACGAAAACGAAACGAAAATTATGTGATTTGAAAGAAAGTGAACGAACGTAATCAAGGACAACCATTCGTTTTTTTTTTGGTTTTTTTTGGATGGATGGATGGATGGCTGGCTGGCTGGTGTATCATCATCAAATCAGTTGGTTTCAATGATGATAACTTTCTTTTTTTTTGTTTGTTTGCAAAAAAAAAAATATTTGCGCAATGGATGGCTGGCTGGCTGGATGGATGTAATCATTCAAAGAAGTTTTTTTTTTTTTTTTTTTTTAGTTTGGTTATCTTTCTATATGTGACGCTGTAAACACCACTTGTATA